ATCAGAACCTTCTGACGTCAGAGTTTCCTCATCAGGCGCGAGAGGAATCTCCACATCAGATGTTATGTCATAATTTTTCCTCAGTTTTGAGATATTAACGCGGACGATGCGTGTTCCAAGATCCACACCTACCATGGATCCTCCGAGTTCGGAGATCACCTTTCCTTTTAGCCAAGATCCATGTTTGGACCCAGTTGATCCAATCTTAGACTTATCTTCTGACCAGTAGAAAACCTTATCTCCCAAAGAGAAAGGTCCTTCGGTCATTGACAGTCTGGCCGCAAGATCTCTGCGCAGATCATCAGATTGGCGTGCCTCTTGGTAAGCCCTGTTGGCAAGCTCCTTAATGGCTCTCGCAGTGACTTCCGTATCAGTTGGATTACCTGTCAACTGATTGGGATCAGCGTTCTCTGGTGTTATAACATCTCGAGGACGCCTACCAAAGGCCATTTCTAAAGGAGTAACTCCTCCATAGGTAATCGAAGAGTTTCTTGCCAAACATGCTTGTCGAACGAGGTTGCCATACTTCATGGTGATTCCGTTATACTGCGGGTCACCATCCTTCAGGATCTGAAGTATGATCTTAATCTGATGCTTCAGCAATCTTACAGCAGCTTCGGCCCTGTTGGGCCATGGTGTTCCAGGTCCTGTTGCTACAGGCTTGATATTCTGCCGATTGTAATAAGCCTCCATTTTTGGAGTCATGAATGCTTGATCTCCAACTACAACCTTTGGGTTGATCTGAAATTTCTCAAAGTAGTCATTCATAATCGACATTGTAGTATGCTCTTCTTTATCCTGGACTACTTCGGAAGTCAACAGGTTTGTTGCTCCGTCATAGAGAATAAGAAATATTAAGCGACTATTCTTGCCGGGAATTGGAAGCTCACCGTGATCTACGAAGGTGAGATCACCGAAAGTCTCTGATCTTAAACCGGAAATCTTCGCTCTTGAAGGAGCTCTCACGTGTTCCTGACAGGCTGAACACTTTTTGACCAGTTGGTCATATAGCTCATATATCTCCTTTGGGATCTGTAAGGCTTTCGTGCGTCGCTTGAACTGATCCGTACTCATATGACGGTGCTTAAGGTGAAGCTTATAGAGTTCTACAGGGTCCTTAAGCTTCTCATGAATCCTGCGAAGAGCAATGGGAAGAGATGGCGATGGTTCTGCGACAATCTCTTCACCTGTAGGTGAGTCTGTACCAGGAGCCGGGTATTCTCTTGACTCAAGTGGTCTTACCTCCGTCCCGTCATCAGCTCCTGGGACCATAGACTTCTCCTCAACAGGAGGTTTGACCGCATATTTGCGGGTTTTCTTCAGAAGGTTTTTAAGACCCTTTGGAGTCTTTGTCTTCGCAGGTGGAACCTCAAGTCTTTCTTCTTCTGGAGGTTCGTGCGGTGCAGATGATTCTGCAGGTTTGTCTCTAGAGCCTGATGATGGTTCCGATGGTTCGGAAGGCTCAGGAGCATCACCAGATGGTTCTGGTGGATCAGGTTTCTTGGCAGATGATTCTGCCGGATCAGATGGAAGAGGCTTCTTCTTACCTGGAATGCCCTTCGGTGGTGGATCAGCTGCTCCTTCAGGTGCTTTGTCGCAACCTTTGAGGAACGTATGAGGCTTTTTCTGTCCTGCGCAGGCTGGACAGCGACCTTCCGGGATCTTAGTATAAGATCTTCTTTCTTCCTTTGGCTTCTTAGCTCCTAGAGCAGTCTCCGTCGCACTGAACGACGTACCTGACTTAGGGAGATACTTCCTGGTGGAAGTGAAGCCTAGAAGGTCCAATACCAAATGGTTATTGGTACTAATCGGAAGGGGGGTTTTGTACAAACCGAAAGCTTCACACGTTGCTAGGTCAGCTGTGGGACTACACTCGAGGGTCATTCTTAGATTCCTCATCTGTTCGATGGAGAACAAAATGGGAACTCTCCCCTGATCCAGAACTTCGATGGTTGTATCTCTTCTTGGAGTTGTGTTGAACCATAGAGTTACACGCTCCTTGATAAGAGCTGTTTCACTATCTGCGAAAGAGAACTTCGTGTTCGAAGGTGAGAAAGTGAAATCAATCATGCCTGGGGCACGTTGCTTCACGGCCTTGATAAGCCTGTTCACCGCATAGCGGGAACCCATAGCCCTAGTACAACCTGAGTCAAGTATGACAAAGGTAGGGTTCTTATCAAGATTGATCCGCTCTGTGAGAGCAGATAGGACGGTGTGCTGCAACGGAAACACCGCTGTTGCAGTTTCAACACCTTGCCCCTCGGATGGTTCAAAGACCTGGGGCACGTAACTCACTGATGAGTTGAACACGGGTTCTTGGTGCGCGCTCGGATCTGTGCCTCTACCTGATGATCCTGCTTGATTTCTTCTCTTCTTTCTCCGTGTTTTTCTTCGTGAGGCTTGTGATGCATAGTATGTATAAGACGTTTGATCGTCATAAGCGGCATAATTCCAACTGGAGTCAGTATAATAACTGTCCTCATACCATGAATCCCAGCTCGGTGCGGTGGAACTCTCATAGGCCTGTGGAGATCCAGTTTGGTCTCCTTGTAAGGAGGCAGACTTAGCTGTATCCTTACCTTTGCCTTTTGCCTTTGCGCCTTTGAAGGAGCTTCCTTTATCTCCTTTGTCCTTTCCTTTTCCTTTGCCTTTTCCACCTTTTCCTTTTTCCTTTCCTTTACCTTTACCGAAATAGCTGGAATCAGTTGGATCATGTTCTGCCTGGTTGGCTCTCCCTTTTCCGCGGTATGACCTAAAACGGCCACGTCCTTTTCGCTTGCCACCCTTTGCTCTTCCCGGTGATCCGGGACGCATTCTTGGTCTTCTTCCCTTTTTGAATCTCCTTGCAACGAAGGCCTCATGGTCATCAACTGTCCAGAAGACAGCTTCTTCATCCTCGGCGGCAAGAAAGCCTTCCTCAAGGGTGTCTTCGTCTTGGAGCCAGAATCCATCGACTCCATCGTATTCACCCTGATCGAGGATGAGGAAGTTTCGACCTCCGCGTTTGCGGCGTTGGTCTCTCCTTCCATGGCGGTCCTTCTTGTGAGAAGAGTGCCGAATGTTGGGATCCTGCAGACCAGTTCTGGTCGTTGAGAACTGATCGAACATGGTCTGCCGTACCACAGGGTACGTGTAGGTCTCAATTCGGTGACCTTGGTTGGTCAATGCTGTTACCAACCTCTCACGTTGCATCTCATTTAGGTCGGACTGCACTAGGAAGAGGAGAGCTAGGAGATTATCATTCAGAGGAAACGCTCTTCGATGATTGTCAAGGCGTTCCTTGTTCCATGTTTCGAAATAGCGTGCGGCATATGTGTCTCTCTCGGCTGCATCCTGCATGCGCAAGAAGGTTTGGTCTGCCTGCACAGCTTGCATGAAATCTGGATGGGCATCCTCCAGAGCTATCTCTGGTAAGAGATCCATCCATGAGTTTTTCACGCGCTGTAGCACGATCTCAAACTTGGCAATCCAAGTCACAAAGTCTTGGTTGCCCTTCCATGCCTTGAATAGGCCGAGGAAACGCCACAGGAAAACGTACTGTTCTCCTTTCACGAAAAATGGACGCATCTTCTTCTTGAAGTAATCTACTCCATCTGGGGCTGCAAGCCTTTCTCGGTTCAGTGATTCCTTTTGTACTGCGGCCAATCCGGAGAGCCTCGTCTTGAGAGACGGACCTCTTTTGGTGTCATCCAGCGTTGTTATGTCGCACCAGTCGTCAATCAACTGTTCATACTCAAACCACGAGGTGGTGCCATCATAGGCAGGCGCGATCTTGGGCGTTATGCCTAATGATGCAAGCATGCGGTCAGATGTTGCATATGACTGTGCGACATAAGTGGCTGGACCTTGGGAGGTCTCTTCGTTCTCATATCCCCCGGAGGATTGGGAACTGTCGTCGGCTTCGCTATGCGAGCTCGACATTGTGCTGCCTCTTATCCGCTTGGTTAAGCGTTCGGCGAGGCCGACCGCTGTAGCGGACTTTGGGAGGCGGGCGGCCCTTTCCGGGCTCCGCTACCAGAAAACTGAGCCGATACACCCACAAGGAAATGCTCCTTGTTAGGAGGTGTATGACCAGTTTATTCCCTAAGGATCAAAGGGCAGCGCCCTGCACACGGACAGTAGTTGTTTTGTCTTGCTACGCAAGGAGAGCTTGTCTTGTCTCAATATGGTAAAACCACTGTGAGCCAATGGGCAGCGGAATGTATATGTATGAGCATGCAGCCATTGCTGTAGGTACCTGTTAGAGCTACCCCTTTAGAGGTTTACGCAAACAAGGGGACAGAGAGGGACAAAGGGGGACAGACGGGGGACAGAAGAGAACAAAGGGAACAAAGGGGGACAAAGGGGGACAAAGGGGGACAGAGGGGGACAAAGGGGGACAAAGGGGACAAGGGGCGAAGGGGACAGACACGAAACAAGTGAATAGGAATTGAGGGAACAATATAGACAAGGTACAGGGCTCACGATGAGGAAGAGGATGTACAGCAGCAATAGGAAGGCTGTAATACGGCATTGTATATATGCACGTCTTTTTCTCGCAGGAAGGTAATTCTTCACGAAGGATGCCCTTCTGCATAATGATTTTCTTGCTACTGGAAGGTCATCCATCTTCTTCCTGATCATCATTCCATTTGTCTTCGACTCAGTTCAGTCTCTTGTCGCATACCAACGACCTGGCATGTCCGTGTAGTATCGTAGCCTATGCATGGACATTCCATCCTTGCTGTCTGTTAATGCCTCAGCATTTCTCGAGCTTTCAAGCTACAACTTCATTCGCGCGTCCGTGCTGACATGTCCAATTCTTTGGAGAGTCAGTTGGAACATCTCATGGAGGAGGAGTATTATCCTCACATGGCGGGGTCTTCTCCTTCACCTCGTCCAGCGAAACGTCTCAGAGGTGCAAATCTGTTGGGGTCTCAGACGCGGATATCCCATGCCCATGCAATGTTAGGCAGGTCCGAGCATATATGTGTGTAATTCTTACTTTGTGTCCTGATGAGGTTTCGCGCCTTCTCTGATTTGGAGATCGACCCTCCTGCCCCACATATCTTGGCGCCGGCACCCGTCAACCCGAACGCGATCACAATGCCAGCCATGTACGAGCACTACATGCAGTGGGGTCGTAACTCCTTTCCAGACTTCGCTCCGGAGACCTGCAAACTCATCTCCATTGCCAACTACATCTGTGACATGGATGCCGCAAACTATTGCATGTCTAACAAACAGAAGCTTATGTTGGCTATGTTGATTGATGGCCATAACTGGAGGGCTCATTGTCGACAAGCTTTTCGGTACGAGGACGGTGCTTGGGTTCGCTGTGAGAACTTGTCCATCGATGCATGGGATTTGCTGATGGCCTTGGAGGGCTTGTTTGTTCAAGTCTCTCTGGACTTGGCGGCGGCAGAGCGAGAGTCCCAATGGAGTTGGGAAGCCGCCGGCGCCGACGTGCTCAATGTGATTCGACATCTTCTTCAACAGTCCGTGGATGTGATTAAAGAGCTATGTGGCGTCGCCAAGGCTAACAGTGATCATCTTCGCAAAGCTACAGGAAACAAGGCGTGGCATGCGAAATGGTCTCGCCGTGTCGCCGATATGCTCGCTCAATATCGGAAGACATGGGAAAGCGAAATCTCCTCAAAGCCTCTAACAAAGTTGTTTCTCTTGGAGTGGGATACACCTATGCCTAGATCGACAGGCGTCTGTTTCACGGACGTGTACCTCGACGAGAATTGGGATGTGGCTCCGAAATCACGTGATCGGAATTGCTACTTGAAACTGAACTACCGCTACCTGTATGAACATGTGATCGCACAGAACCCCAACATTGATGTCAGCAACTTCCGTATCAGGCTTCGTCTCTTCCTCGAGTCTCTGTATTACAAGAACGAACATGGGTTCCAAATCAAGTTGTGCTTCCTCCACGCAGCCTTCAAGCGAGTATGCACTTCCAAAATGATCTTCCAGATCGGCAAAGGTGGCGATGGTAAAGGAATGGAGGCAATATTGGATCGCACCTTGTTCGGGGACCTTGCTTCCTCCACATTGGATTGTGGGGTCTTCTTGGACCGATCGGAATTCCGCAAATCTGCGGAGTTGGCATGGAACATGGCCAATGTTCGCATCCAAGAGATGGATCATAAGTCTTCCTTCCATGCCGACCTATGGAAGCGATTCGTAGTTGACGAAGACATCGACTGTCGGGTCAACTACGGCTTCACCACTAAGCGCAAATTTGGTGAGAGCTTGAAGGTGCAGGAGTTAAACTATGACAACATACCCACAATTGAGGAAGCTCGCGATCGCAACAAATGCTGCCAGCAACTGGAGAGACGCATCGTGTGTCTTCGCATGGGGAAGGGGAAACTCGTCAGTGATGTCAATGAGGTGGACACAGACAACGGCGTCTTCCTGTTGATTCCACAGGACGAACTATCTGCTTTCCTATCACATGAGATAACGGCCGCCCTGTTCCTACGGGAATACTGCATTCCGTTCTTCCAGGAAACGTCGTTAGCAGAGTCTTTGAGAATGATCAACGACCTCGCCGGTGTTCATGCCGATCTTGTTCGTGATACCAAGTGGCTAGCTTCACGCCTTGCGGGCGGCAATGCTCCGCCTCCTGGAGACGAGACGGATGATGTGAATGAGTTCAATAGACTAGTCATTGCTGCTCATTCGCAGACGCCCTGGAAGCGAGTCTTGAAGGAGTACCTCATCCACAAGATTGAGGCCTTGCCAGGAGCCATATACTCGTCGAAAGGAAAGCGGACTAAACTTTCTCATCTTATCGAGGCCGTGGACAACGCTGACGTGATCCTCCTGAAGCAAGTGGATCATGGTTGTTTCCATAAGCTCCTTCTGGATTGGACAAAACTACAGTTGGCCATGGACAATCACGGCGGCATCGACAAGTACGGGTCCTGGACGGAATGGGGCGATCCCTTTGACTTGCTGCACACGCAGGAGAAGTGGACAGGGGCAGCCTTCCATCATGACGCACAAATTATCCGACAAAACAAAACCATCGTCGAAGATCTCAGTGCGCTCGGGCGTAATAGTGAACTCCGCTTGCAGGAGAAAGTGAATTTGACTGCGCTCATCGCCGACGCGCAAGCTGGCAATGATCGTCGTCCAGATCTCCTGGAAGCCTACATTGCTCGGCATCGTCGAGACGGATTGGTTAATGGAGACTTCTCCAGCATTGACATCGCCTACTACAGACGACCTCATTATGGACGTTTGTTGTCGCGAGGACCTTCTGGTCAAAAGCTCACGCGTGAAGCAAGGTTCATTGCCTTCGGCTCTCACTGCGCCGAAGTCGACGCTCCTTCGTGCCATCCTCGTCTATTAGTTTCGAAGCTGCGCGAATCTGAACTTTGGGATGAGGACAAGTTCCCCATGCTGAACAAGGTCGTGCAGTTCTACAAACAGTGGAGAGAATCTCTGGCACAGTATTCGGAGTGTACCGTTGAGGAAGCGAAGGTAGAGCTTATTCGCATTTTCTACGGTGGCCGGCCTTCCGTTGAAATCCCATATTTGCACAAGCTTTGTGACGAGGTACAGCGTGCCGCTATGCTGTTACTGAGGATGCCGACTGCCAGAGTATTCGCTGATCTTTATGAAGATCGTCCTAATCCAGAGTTCAGTCGGCTCTCAGCTCTCCTGTCTTTTGAGGAGGCGAAGCTCATGCACATCATGTCAGAGCACATGGGAGACTCTGTGCAAATGCTGCTCTTCGATGGGTGCTATGTTGAATGCGACAGTCTTGCTGCAGAGTTGGATGTCGTCGAAGCGTGTCGGGCATGTGAAGAGAGTGTGATTCCCATGGCCATCAAGTCGTGGCCTTCCGGCACGGAGCTGTCAAGCATAGCAAGGCTGTTGATTCGCAAGGATCTTGGACTTTGGAGTATCTGCCAGGCTAGCTTGCAAGGGCCAACCTCGTCTTGCTTGCACTACGTGATTGCTGTGCTCCAGCCTGACTGCGACACTGACCTCTTGGAGGTTACGGAAGATGAAGGTGATATCTCCGCTAGGGAATTTAACGAGCACATGAGGCACAGTTCGCAGCGCGCTCCGCAAGACGCATACCGCATGATCTACATGGAGGAAGTGGATCTGAGCGAGGTGAATACCCTCAACGGTAGCCTCATTGTCCATCAAGCAGCTCCAGGTGGTGGACATTGGAGCGGCATCCGATTCCTTGGCGACTCGACAGTATGTGTCGTGGATTCTGAGTCTAGCGGGCGTCATTTGCACACCACCTTCCAGATCCTGTCTCAGATTGTGTCCTCCATGGAGAATCTGTCTTGGTTTCGTCTTCAGACGCTTACCCACGATGTTGCTCTGGATCATCACGCAGCCTATGACCTTCGTGGATCAGGACCTTGCAAACGACCTGCGTCGCAAGCCTCATGTACACTGTCCAGATAGACTGGTGCTATCCTCACCCCTGCAGACGTGCTTGGAGTGTGGTGCCTCTATTCGGAAAGAGCGTGTTATCGAAGCACGCTTATACGCACTCGACGGGGTACATCATGTGGAACATTTGACAAAGAAATGCTCCAATCGCAATTGTGCAACATTGCATCACTACAATTACCGTTGGGTGGACGGCAACAAGATCAACAGCTCTCATGCAAGTGATCTGGAATTTGTTTTCGTGAATCCCAAGACGGTCTTCACTCGATCTTTCCTGGATTATCATGGCATGCTGCAGTTTCGTGGGCATATCAGTGTCCATGCTATCAACTTTGCGCAGAAGGAAGTCATGTGGAAAGACGAAAATGAGCATGCTCGATGGCGGCTAGAATACTCTACCGCACAGTTGTATCTCAATGTCCTACAGGTTGGCGAGCTCATGTGGTGCGACTTGTCGGACCAGGACACCGACAAGAAACTCCTGTCGATCTGTTTGGAGAAGCCGCTTGCTGACAACTTCGTGCAGGAATATCACAAGTGGTTCCAATCCAATGAGATTACTGTTAAGGAGAGTAAGTCTATGTACGAGCTCGTGATCGATGGCCATGAAAAGGTTTCATCCAGGTGTTCTACTATTACTCCTGCCCATGGCGGACGGCCACGGAAGGACGGCACAGTCAAAAAGCGCACAAATGGGTGGTTTATGGCTATTCATCCAGAGTCCGGCCTCATCGTTGGTGTGCAGGAGATGATCCACCCTGAGAACAATGACCTGGCAGTTAGGATGCTTGAAGATGCGGCTGAAACTCTTCCGGTCTTGGATTGTATCATCTATGACCGCATGTGCTGCGCTTTGCAAGCAGTGCGAAGGTCGGACATGCTCCGGGACATTAAGTATTTCTGCGTCGATAAGTTCCACGCACATGGTCATGGTACAACTTGTCCGTGCTCGCCCTTGGTGCACAAAAAGCTAGACAAGAGATTGAGAGAGGTGAATACCTCTGTGGCTGAGCAAACCTTCGCTTGGTTTCGCAACTACGCCAGAACATTCAATACCATGTCCCCGCAGACGCATTTCTTCTATGTTCTCTTCTACGTGCAGAAGCATAACGAGTTGATCCGCAAGCACAGTGTGAGTCACCTCAGCCCATTCAGTTCAGGCCGTAAGCGCCGCCGTTCTCAGCCGTACAGTTGCAGCAAATCATTCGCCTCGAAAGTGTTCCGTCGTCCAACTGCAAAGGTTTGCTTGCGGAGGCCATCAGCCTGCATGGCGAAGCGTCCAGCGTCCTCGAAGTAGGAAGCTCTATCCGACAACATGCCAGTCTGCTTCATCGAAGAAAGAAGCCTGACATACGTGTACAAATTTTGACTTCTAGTCGACTGTCTCTTGCTGCGACAAGTCCGAGGGGTGACCAAAGAAGAAGAAGAAGAGTGAGCGAAGCAGCTGATAACTCTGTGCAAACTGAGAATTGCCGTCTCCACGTCCTTGGCGGGCTATGAGAATAACAGGATTAAAGTAGTTACTAAGTAGTTATCTCTGCCAAGGTCGGATCCTCAGCGTGCTGCTTGTGCGGGCGTCAGTTGAGCTGTTGAGAATAACACTGCGTTAAGACGTCATGCAAATGTTTGCTGGTGTATTCTGGGGGGTATGATGAAGACATTTCTATAGTAAAAAACTCGAGGAAAAACACAGAATTCCTCGAAAATACGCGCCGCCACGGCGTACCAGTCTCTAATTTTATCAGTATTTTAATGGAATTAGTTTGTTTTCAATGCAATTACAGTTGTTTTCAGTGCAACCTTGTTGCATTGAAGACAAAGTATTATGCACCTAATATAAATTCCAATATGGAATGTAATTAGTGAAATATATTAATAGTGGGTTTGTATTCAGTGCAATTACAGCCGTCTTCAGTGCAACATTGTTGCATTGAAGACAAAGTATTATGCACCTAATATAAATTCCATTATGGAGTGTAATTAGGGAAGTATATTAATAGTGGGTTTGTATTCAGTGCAATTACAGCTGTCTTCAGTGCAACATTGTTGCATTGAAGAGAAAGTATTATGTACCTAATATAAATTCCATTATGGAATGTAATTAGGGATGTATATTAATAGTGGGTTTGTATTCAGTGCAATTACAATTGTTTTCAGTGCAACATTGTTGCATTGAAGACAAAGCATTATGCACCTAATATAAATTCCAATATGGAATGCAATTAGGGAAGTATATTAATAGTGGGTTTGTATTCAGTGCAATTACAGTTGTTTTCAGTGCAGCATTGCTGCACTGAAAACAAAGTATAATGCACCTAATACAGATTCTATTATGGAGTGTAATTAGTGTAAAAATAGTTATAGTGGATTTGTATTCAGTGCAATTACAGCTGTCTTCAGTGCAGCATTGGTGCACTGAAGACAAAGTATAATGCACCTAATACAGATTCCACTATGGAGTGTCATTAGCAATATACTCAAGGGCTTTTGTTTTCAGTGCAGTTACAGCTGTCTTCAGTGCAGCACTGTTGCACAGAAGACGAAGTTTAATGCACCTGATACAGATGCCAATATGGAGTTTAATTATTGCCGCGTAATAAAAAGTTGCATCTAATAGGGTTCCTATGAGTCAAGTGAATAGAAATATGTCTTCAGTGCCATCGGGTTGTTTTTTGTTGGCAGTTAACTGCGTCTTGTGAAGCAATTGTGTGTCCAAGATGATTTGCCTGCAATGGTTTGGGCGTCGGTGTGTGTTTCAGTCAAAGGCCTAATGGCCGGAATTAGGACGGATGCAAGCTGTACACTCATGGAGGCTTTACGTATATCCTGGTTCTTATAATTTTGTGTGATGATGTTGATTGAAGCACGGAAATCAGAGTAATTAGGAATTCCTAATCTGTTTCAATCACTGCATACGACTTTGCAATTACACAGTATAGGCCAGGGTGCGAATATTTGCTGATGTTATTCTTTCTCTGACCTGTGCTGGTGACTGTCTCTGAAGCAGTAGTGCCTGCAAAGTTTTTTTCGTGCAGCCAGGAATGCCTGCAAGCACCGCTCTTCTGAGGTATCTTTCACTTTCGACTTGCTGCTCCACCGTGTGATTGGGGAGTTGCGGCCTCAGACTGGCACTCCCCTTGCTTCCGTGGTTCTGCTTGAGCCTGAATGATTGTCATCGTTTGCCCGGCCTGATATTGCATCGGCCCCAGCTGCCTGAAATTCCTTGTGACGGATCGCGTGCTGTTTTGTCCTTCGCCATGCTCGGCTTTGCCATTCGGGACGACGTCAAGGCGGCCCAGATGCAGCACTACGAGTTTTTTGACTCGCCCGAGGCGTGCTTTGTCGCAGCGGCAAGGCTTGAAGCCAGAAAGCGGCTTGATCGAAAAACGTGATTCGGTCATGTAATTTCTTTAGTTTATTGGCAGTCTGGTAACTAAGGCTGGACTTGAAAGTCAGCGATGCCCTTCCGCCGATGCCTGAGAAGAAGACGAGGAGGAAGACGAAGACTGCGGAGGCTGACGGTGTCAGTGTGTCGGCGGCCTCCGGCTCCAGCTCGTGGACTGGTTCCACAAACATCATGAAGTTCATGGGGTGCAGCACAAAGTTCCTTCGCCTGACGGTCCATGACATGACCCAACGTCGGCTATGACGGACAGGATCATCTCGCACGTGGCGACTGACGGACGAGCGACAGGAGCCCCTTTGTTCCGAGTTCCGGTTCAGACCATCTTGCGTCCGCCGCCGCCGAAAACAATGACCATGGATTTCTTCGAGGCCAAGCTGAACGTGCATGCGGGAGAGTACATCAAGACTGAGGATGATCGTGGGCCTGCCGAAGGACAGGGAGTTGTGGGGTTGCTGAAGCTGAAATAATTGTGATCCCTAATTAAACGACACAGTGGCAGCCTCAGGGCCGTGGCATTTCTACCGCCTGGTGGACTCCAGCCTGAACATGTCCATGTCGAACGTTTTGTTTCGCAACACACCCGGGAATACACGGTCTGAGAAGCCCCACGTGTACTTCACCGGCTTCAGCGGGCCTGCCCTCCTTGCGTTTCTCATGAGTCGTGGGAAGAAGGCTGAGTGTCTTGGCCAAAAATTAAGGTCTAGGTCCTGCGGCCGCTTGCGGTCGCCCGAACCGCACAACGATCCAAGGGTTCTGCTGTATGAGATGTTCTTCAAGGAGCTGCCTGAGCAGCTGCAGCTGACTGACTGCCCCCTTGTCGCCGCCCGGCAGCACGAAGACACTCTCGTCGTATCGGGGCCGTTGTTTTTTTCCGCCACTTGCCACAGGACTACTGGATCAGCCCTGGTCAGATCGAGATGCAAAGCCTGAGGATGTTCAAGGCGGAGGTGAAGCTTGTGGTTTGGTCTGAGAAGAGCATGAAGGAGATGTTGGTCTCCAAGCTTGACGGGCAGATTTCGGCCACCATGAGCCGCCTGAGAAGTCTGAAGCGGAAGAAGGTGGACCTCATCAAGGACGGTGCCCGCCTTAGTCAGACATTTGATTTGCGCCTTGGGCCATGACAGCGGGCTTTTCGGCTGAGTGGGACATTTGAAGGTTGCATCCCGGAGTTGGACGACGAGCCTGACAGCGACAACTCCAGCATGAATGATTCGGCTGAGTAGTAGGCGAGGCTGTGCCGGCGTTTGATCTGAGACGGCAGAAGCACCCAAGATCAGTCTGGAGCTTCCGAGCTTGCGGTTTTTGACATTGAATGAGGGAGCCGAAGAAAATACTTGTGTCTGTGTGTGCAATTTCGGGATGCCGGCTGCACAGCATGAGTGCCAGTCGCACCCAGGCCCATTTCCAGCAGAAGGCCTGGAGCCAAGATACCCGTTGGAGTTCCGACAGAACGACACTACTTGTTTGCGGCTGAGGCCAAGAAGTCCTGCTTCAAGCACGGCGATTCGACGTCCGAAGGCGGAAAGGGTCCACGTGCCCGGGTAGAAAAGTCAAGGGAAGACAGGAAGGTTTAAGCCATGTAACCCCAGGGCAGGTTGTGTATGATTATCATAATGTCGCTGTCACCCCATCAATATTGTCGAAGTTGTCCAAATCGGTTGGAGACTTTTAACTTGCCAGTAGAGGATTACACCACGATATTCACGGCTGACCATGCTAGTCGTGCTCGCATTTCCAAAGCAACAGTGATTATCCATCTGATATGTCAAGCAAGAGCGTGCAGAGTGTTTTGGACAAACATCAGAAAATTGTCAATCTCGTAGCCCTTCGAACTGTGGTTGCTCCCGGAGCGGCATTATCTTCTTACAAAATGGCCAACAGCAGAAGCTTCGGACATATCTTTCCGTCATGGGCGTGGTTGCAGTTCGCAGGTTCCGTTAGCGTGCCGTTAGAGTCAGACCCGAGGTGCAAAGACTGAGTAAGCTTCTGCAAGCCAACCGGTCCCAAGTGGGGAAAGCCACTGGACCCACAGAACTGACCTCTGCAGGTCTGAGACTGGACGTCATGGCGATGGGTCCACGAGGAGTGGCTGCCTAAGAACTTTCGACTGGCTGAATAAAAGTTTGTGAGACAGTCGTCGGGTCTGCATAGCGTACAGAAATACACCTCGGCCCGGGGCCGAGGCGTATTCCTGCACACTTGGCTCGGCGTACATCAGATGGCCTTGTATTGTGTTATATGACCTGGTATAGATGTCATCTTGTCGCGGTGTACAAGAATACACCTCGGCCCCGGGCCGAGGCGTATTCCTGCACACTTGGTTTGGCGTGCAACTATCTCACAAACTTTCTTTCAGCCAGTTAAAAGTTGAACGATTGTGACCTCGCCTCAAATCCCGTTCTCCCTGCATGCCTGAGGTACGTTCTCTGTTGGCCCTGGATTTCCGAACAGCCGATCTCTTCAGAAGGCCGGGACTGTCGGCTGAATCGTTTCAGAAGTCGGCTTGGCATGATGGGTTGACCACCTCCTCCCCGCAAGATTGCGGCTTTGAGAGCCGCTCTGCCCCGGCTCTAGCCTTTCCGTTTCCGGGGCTTTTCCGAATCCGAAAGCCATGGCTCCCAAGACTGGCCGGACGAGTGGGGCCAAGAAGGCGGCCAAGGCAAGTGCCAAAGCTAAGGCTGAGGCCACGGCGGCTGAGGCTGCCGAGGTGGAGTCTGGGGACTTTGCCATGGAGACCGGGCGTGAAGCCGTGAAAGAGGCCCTGGACTTTTTGAAGAAGAAGAAGCTCTTTCCGGCTAAGGCGGAGAAGGTCGGCACTCACTCCATTCTTCCAGATGCCTTGCAGGGCTCGAGCCTGAAAGAGGCCGGCTGGCTTTAGATTGTTAAGAAGT